CATGCACTTCTTTTTGAAATTTTTATTCTGGGAAAAAAAAGCTCGACCCTTGGAATGTAGAGGCTTAGGTTGAAATCCTGGCATGGCCCCGGATGGGCTGTGCGACCCTCAACCTATGGCCGACGGTCTCTGAGCCTCACGGAGCTGTTTGGGGCTTAAATGAAAGAACTGGGGGTGCCCGGGCCCTGCCCAAGGAAGGCGTGGGTACCCACAGGGTTCGTTTGCAGTCGCCAGGCAGACCACGGTTCCCGGGCGTCAGTAACGGTGTTACCCTGTAACCCGGTTCTGCGTGTGACCGCGTTAGACCTGCGTGTGCGTGTGTGTGACGGTAACTGTCATGTCACATGTGTCACTATCTAAACAGAAGTCAATCCCTTAAGCGCGGAGCTTACACTAATACCCAACTCAGCTGTGGCGGGAGGTGCACGAGGCCTGCAGACGAGGGATCATGGAGGGACCACGGCGGCACCGCTGGTCAAGTGCTGGTCTGTGTGTGTCGCCCTTAATGTAGGTCTATAGGAATACACGCCACACACATGTGGATGCTGAGACCATGTTGGGTTGGGGAATCAGAAGACAAGGCTCCCCTCTGACCTGGACTCCCCCGTGACCTCTGACCGTCATTTGACCTCTGCGGGGCCGGCTGTTCCCTTTAGGGATTGGAGCAGAAGGTGCCCCTGAGACGGGTCATTGAGGAAGGCCCAAATGTTTGACCTGAAAACGTGGTTTCCTTCTACCTTCGACGTCTCTCGACAACTTACGCCCATGAAATTGGCTTTAAGTTCGCAGAGTGGAAGGCAGTGTGAATGTTCAGGTTTTTGGGTCTGAGGCAGGTTGCCACATGGAGCGGAGACGTGAGAAAATAGTGCTCGGAAGTCCCCAAATATCTGCAAACTTGTCGCTAATGCGGCCGCCAGAAATGGCTTCATCTTTCCTTTTTTTATATATATATATTTTTCTCATTGATTTTTAGAGAGAGTGGAAGGAAAGAGAGAGAAACATTAATGTGAGAGAGACACATCGATGGGTTGCCTCCTGCACGCCCCTGACCAGGGCCTCGAACCCACAACTGAGGTATGTGCCCTTGACCAGAATCGAACCCGGGACCCTTCAGTCACAGGCCGACGCTCTACCCACTGAGCCAGACTGGCTGGGGCCATCTTTGCTTCTTAATACATGGGGCTTAATTCGGTGCCTGACATTTCTTCGTTGATATTAATATAGGTCTCTCGGCTGCTGGGGGCATTCCACAACCCAAAACAGGTGACCAGAGGTTTTGCTGGTGGTGTGAGTATAATTATGTCTTTTCTTTTTTTCCTTTTCGAAGTTTCTCAAGAAAGATGCTCTACCACATCATATAGCCCTTTACCTCCATTTACTTAAAATTAGGGTAAATTGGGCCATTCTTCTCCTGTATCTTAAAATTATGGGCTAACATGCAGAAATCTGTTAGGTCACATTTGAAAGAATTATGTTACAGCCGGCCATGTCAGCCTGTCACACTGATATCTGGAGGGAGCCTTGTTAAAAATAGATGGATTTTTCCCTTGAGCCTGTTACTTTATTTCACAACCCCATTGGGTAAGACAGGTTTTTTTCCAAACCTCGTCCACGTCGAGAACATATTGTTGAGAAGCTTCAAAACCTGCTTCGCATTTTTATGTTGGGAGCTTCCCCAAAAGCCGCAGGCGGGTCGCCAGGTGGGAGTGAACGCCTCGACGTCTGTCAAGTCCTGAGGCGTCTGCTGTCCTTACGCAGCCTGGATAGAGGATCACGCTGATGGATCCTCTATTTCTCCTGAAATCCGCTGCTTTTCCCGTCCCCGGCGCCGGAGTCCTGTGCTTTTAAAAGCTGACACCACATTTTTGGAGCTCGCTGAGGCTGTGGGTCAGTGGCTCCCTGTATGCTGTTGCTTTAACCAGATTCGTGCAGAATCCAGTAGCGTTTCCTGATTCCTCTGCTCCCAGATCACACCCTGGTCCGTGAGGCATCTGTAAGACCACAGTAGGTTTTCCCTGCCTTTACTTTCTGAGCTGCGGCCTCCAGCAGGCTTTAGTTTCGGTGGCCTGATGACGCTGATCCGACGTGTTGGGAGAACGGGAAGCAGCAGCCAGCGGTTCCGGGCTCTGCAGGCCGCGGCTGCACCTCAAGGCCACGGCAGCAAAGCGAGCATTTCAGACGCGTTTCTGGGAGCTCACGAGATGGTCGCTGCGCTCTGCTGTTACTTAATTTCCAGGCTCCCCATTAAAAAAAAAAAAAATTAGCCTGGTGGGGAGGGGGCTGTATCTGGAAGGAATATGAAGAGGAACGAATCTTTTCAAAGATTTCTGCAGTTTGTGCAGAACAGTGTGACCAGTCCCCCTGCTCAGGGACTGTACTGGGAGGCAGAAGACCAGGGGAACTTGAATCAGGGATTTTTTTTTTAAAAAGTAGCAACAGGTGACCGGGACTGGGAAAGGCCAGGGAGCTTGTCTGGGCCAAACCTCAGGTCGGGGAGAGTCCCCGAGTGACGATGGAGAGAGAGGTCAGCCTGTTATCTGTTCTCTTAATGAATTTAAATCCTCTCCTCATTTTCCTTGACACGTTTTTATTTCTACGTTTGAAATGCTGGCTTCATTTTGTTTGCAGCCTTTGCAATAAACCGTTGGTGCTACTTTTTAAACACACTTGTCACTCTAAAGGGTGTGAGCACAGGAACTATTCCTGCTGGTTACAAGTTTACTTCCACGACATTTCTCATGAAGGAGCCAGTTTTCTAGAGGAACTCGGGAAAACGGAGACCCTCTCTGACTCGCAGTCTCGTCTTCTCTGAGTGACAAGCAGACCCCGGGGGCGTTCCGAGTGCCGGGAAGTCTCAGGAGACGGGACAGGTTTCCGTGAGAATCCACACTTTCCGGGACCCGTGTGGAGAGCGAGCACTCGCCTGCTCGCGAAGCTCAGGACACTGTTGACATGTGTCGCACTCTCTGCTTTCACAAACTTGAATTAATGGCCCCTTGTAGCTTGTCTGAAAAGGAAGTCTCCCGAGCAGTTTTAATTTATTTAGTTTTGTTCCATCTAAAGAGCATCCATTAAGACCTTTGCACAACCCCTTAACTCCGGTACAGAGGACAGTGGAGCCGCTTGTGTCTCGCCTCCTCTGATGGCCCAGGGAGGTCGGTCTGTTTTCTTAACGGCCTTTGGGTCTTCTTGAGACCTGGCCCCCCCATAAATCAGATTTGTCAACGATGTTCTTGTTTAAACCTTCAAAAATCGATTCTTACTGTCTTCCTTGATGGCTTCTTTTTTGATGATTTCTTCTATTCAGGTTCAGACAGTAACTTTAATTCCAGGAGATGGTATCGGCCCAGAAATTTCCGCCTCCGTGATGAAGATTTTTGACGCCGCCAAAGTAAGTGGACGCTAAAAGTCCCGGTAGCAGTAATTTGTAGGAAAGTTTCTGAGCCAATGGGAGTCCGTGACCTCTGAGGACGAACTGTTCGCATCCGTAGGAAGTGGGTATGGTCCGTTGTGGATCTTCACGACTTTAACTTGAACGTCGGTGTTCGCTGCTGTGCTTGAAGCTGCTGCAATGGCACTGGTTCTGTGGAAAGTGTTTGTGGGTCTCTGAACCCTGCCCGGGCGTGAGGTCTCGCAGTCCCACTGTCTCCCGCCTCCTGCCTTCCTGCCCACGAGAATACAGTTGATATTTCTAAACGCTCTGTAGATTTGAAAGGTTAGAGAGCAGTTTCCGATGTGGCGTTATCATTGAGTGTGAGGTGTTAGTGTAACAGCCCAGCGTCCCGTGCAGGCAGATGTGAAGCCCGTTTCCTGTGGGAAGGGAGGGAACTTGGGCTCTGACACCTGCTCTGTCACTGCTGTTGGAGCTGCAGGTGGTAGACGGTAAGGTTAAGTCTGGATGAAGGTCCTTGTGCACAAAGCACGTCTCGCTCTGAGCTCATGCCTGGTGCACGCTCCACACGGAGGGAGGTGAGCGGCAAGAAAGGACGCTGCCTGAGACTCTCACCTCTTAGGTTATGTCAGAGATCTCGCATTTTTAAAACAGCTTCCTGAGAGACACCGCCCCGGCTGTACCAATCTCCCATTTAAAGTGAACACCTCAGTGGGTTTTAGTACATTCACCGGGTTGTGCAATCTTCACACGATCTAATTTTAGAACATTTCCATCACCCGAAAAGGAACCCCACGCTCATTAGCAGTCGCCCCCCCTCCCCCGATCTCTCTCCCCCTCCCCCGCCCGTCACCAGCCCACGCAGCCACTCAGCTCCTGGTCCCCACAGGTCTGCCTCTGTCCGTCTCATACGAGCGGGGTCTTGTGATGGGGTCTCAGGGCCGCTGTGTCTCCTGCACAGTGTTCTCGGCCCATCCCTGTATCTGTCCGCAGTGTTCCTTCTCCACTCCTGATGGAGGTCTAATTATAGCCACGCGAAGAGTTGTGAGAAACCGAAGCGGGCAGGTGGCAGCTGGGAGGGCGACCGGGCAGGGTGACGCGGGAGTCCCCGTGGGCGAGCTGGGGAGTGACACCTCTTCTTTTTTTTTTTTTTAAATATATTTTATTGATTTTTCACAGAGAGGAAGGGAGAGGGATAGAGAATTAGAAACATTGATGAGAGAGAAACATCGACCAGCTGCCTCCTGCACACCCCCTACTGGGGATGTGCCCGCAACCCAGGTACATGCCCTTGACCGGAATCGAACCTGGGACCCTTCGGTCCACAGGCCGACGCTCTATCCACTGAGCCACACCGGTTTCGGCAACCTCTTCTGTTTTAAAATATATTTTTACTGACTTCAGAGAGGGAGGGAGAGAGAGAAACATCCATGATGAGAGAGAATCACGGATCGGCTGCCTCCTGCACACCCCCCACTGGGGATGGAGCCCGCAACCCGGGCCTGTGCCCTGACCGGGAATCGAACCGTGGCCTCCTGGCCGGGCAGGACTTCGCTTCCTGCGCGCCGGGCACTTCCTGGGCCTGCGTGGTGTGTGCTCGCCAGTGGCGCCCGAGGGTGAGGTGTGTTGGTAACGGGTGGGACGGTCGCTCACCCGCTCGCGGTGTGGCCTGCAGGTGCCCATTCAGTGGGAGGAGCGGAGCGTCACTGCCATTCAGGGACCCGGCGGGAAGTGGATGATCCCCCCGGAAGCCAAGGAGTCCATGGACAAGAACAAGATGGGCCTGAAAGGTAGGCGCACGTGGGCGGATGCGGATGCGGCTCCTGCTGTTTACGCTGTTGATGAAGCTAGCCAGCAGGGGGCAGCGCACTCAGAGCGCGTGCTGTGTTCATTGTGGGACACACACTGAGTGGCCAGATGATGACGACCACCCCACCCCATCAGCACTTCATGGACACGTCCAAAAATGCTGAATATTGAAAGCTTCCTAAGCAAATACGCTCAAGGTTTTATTATTATTTGCATAACTGATTCACTTCATTGTACTGATGGGGTGTCTGGCCACTCAGTGTGGTTTCCCAGTGGAAACGTGGGCCAGTGTCAAGGGAAAGTAGGTCTGTCTTGACCTGGGCTTATCTTTCGCCCACTTTTTACATTTTTGTGATTTTAGTTAACACACGGTTAAGGTCACGATTCAAAATCCTGGCTTTACGTTACGAGACAGGCTTCACGTCCAGGCCGATTGAGGGTGGGTCTCATCTCTGCCGCTCCCTGCCTGGGGGCCTGGGCAGTTTCTACTCTTGCTTTTCAAAAGGAACTTGGTTTCTCCTCCGTTTCTGAGGGACGGACACAGAGCCGGGACACTGCTGGTGGCGAGGGTTAGGTCGTGTCACGCTTGGTCCCCAGTCAGTGAACATTCTAGAAAGCTTCCCGTAGGGACTCCTTCCTCCATCTGACTCTGTGGGGCGGGCAGCGTCAGAGGCGGAACCGTGTGCAAGGAGCCCGGGTGGGTCGGTGGGGGACGGTGGGGGACGGCCGGAGGGTTGCCTGGGTGACGGCGGCGTGGACTCGCCCGGTGGAGAGAACGCCCGACCCGGAGGCAGGGCGCTGCTGTCCTTGCGGGTGACTCGCTCGCGGGTGACGGTGCCCCTGCTTCACGAAGCAGCATGTGCGCCGTGTCGCACGCCACGGGACTCGGGGCCCTGAGTGCAGCTCTGACGGGAACTGAACCAGCCGGGCTTTCACGGAAACACTAGGAGCTCGTGCTCATGAAGGAGGGGGTCCTGTTGTCATCGGGGTGTTCTTCTTCACCGCAGGCCCTTTAAAGACCCCGATAGCAGCCGGGCACCCGTCCATGAACTTACTGCTGCGTAAAACCTTCGACCTTTACGCAAACGTCCGGCCCTGTGTCTCCATCGAAGGCTATAAGACCCCGTACAACGACGTGAACATCGTCACCATCCGGGAGAACACGGAAGGCGAGTACAGTGGAATCGAGCACGTGGTACGTTCCTTCCCGACTCTGGTTACTCCCAGCCGGGCTGCTGCCCTGCACCTGGCCAGTTGTTCAGATTCCCAGCGGGAACATCTGGAGGTCGTGCACTCTGACCTCTGTAAGGTGTGGGCATTTGTCTTGGTCCTGGGCCTCTGGCCAGCGGTGCTCATGCGGCTGCTCGGGGAAGGGCATGGGCCTGGGAACATGCCCCCCGTTTGAATTTTGAATCCGGGCTTCACAGGGGTGCTCATGGGCAGGTGACCCTCTCAGCACCTCAGTTTTCCTCATCCGTGCACTGGGTCCACATGAACCCCACGGCCGCCCGCATGCGTGACGCTGGCCACGGTTGCTGGCACTGCGAGCCCGCCACTCAGGCTGCCGTTGACCCAGGAGCTGCCTGGTGCCCGACGCTGCCACGCCCTTCCCAGCAGGGCCGCCTTCCTGTCTTTCAGATCGTGGACGGGGTCGTGCAGAGCATCAAGCTCATCACCGAGCAGGCGAGCAAGCGCATCGCGGAGTTCGCCTTCGAGTACGCCCGCAACAACCACCGCAGCAACGTCACCGCCGTGCACAAAGCCAACATCATGTGAGTCCTGGGGCCGGCTCTGCGGGGGGAGCGGAGGTGGGCTGCCCTTCTGCCCAGCTGGTCACTGGTTCCTGGGGTCTCTAAAACCACCTGTACCTGGGGCGGGGGGCGGGGGGCAGGCCTCCTATTTCATGTGCCTCACTGGGCGGTGACTGGAGCAGATCGGGGGAGGGCAGGAATGCAGTCCTGGGAGGTTGAGGAGGGGCTGAGAAATACCAGGTGCTCTGGCGTCGGGGACCCCAGCGGAAGTGGCCCCAAGAGCATTTCTAAAATGGACACGGGCTCGGGCGTAAACCAGTGCGAGTGCTGCCGGGGGCAGTATTCTCGCAGTTTCCTTCTCCTCGGCCCCGGCTGTCCCAGGCCGCCTGTGAGTGTCAGATACAGGTTCCTAACCCGAGAGAAGGGTGCACAGTCACCCGTGTGAACCACGGGGAAGTGAGCCTTGTGAAGCGATTTGACTTTCTTACTCGTGGGCATTTCTTGATTCTTGCTGCTACTGCCTGAAACGTAATTGCACCGTCATCGACATGACCCATCTGGGCCTCTGGGCATCAATTTTGTGAACTCACTTTACTTCTCTGATTTGACACTTTTGTTTGATTCAACACAGGCGCATGTCAGATGGGCTCTTTCTGCAGAAATGCAGGGAAGTTGCCGAGAACTGCAAAGACATTAAGTTTAACGAGATGTACCTTGACACGGTGTGTCTGAACGTAAGTGTCGCTCCCCGGGCTGAGCTCTCTGTGGCGGGGGGTGTGTGTGTGTGTGTGTGTGTGTGTGTGTGTGTGCGCGCGTGCAGGTTTGATGGCTGAACGCACCACATGTGTTTCTTGCAGATGGTCCAGGACCCGTCCCAGTTTGACGTTCTTGTTATGCCCAACTTGTACGGGGACATCCTGAGGTAGGTGGCCGCCCCTGTCAGCCTGGTGCCTGCTGGGAGCTGGGCATCGAGCTGTGACCGCGTGCAGGGAGACCCATCCCCTCCGTGGCCACCACCGCCATGGAAACAGTGAAACGTGGGCCTGGCCCTGCTCCCTGGTCGAGGACTCCACAGGGGTCGCTGGCTGGTTGGCTGGTGGACTGACTGTGTGTTTTCTGTATCGCTGGGTAGGTGGGTGGTCATTTTTATAGACTTTTTGGTGACTTCCGAAATAATTTCAGACTAACAGGAAAGTAGCGAGAGAGCTACCCAGGACGCCTGTGTCCTCGGCCACCACGGTTCACCTTCCGCCGCGTTTCCTGTGTTTCTCCCCCTCCGCACGCTCACGCTCACGCTCACACTCACACTCACACGCACGATGATGGCCACGTGGTGACGTTCTGTGTCCCTCCTCCTCACACTCACCAGCTGGCGTTCTGTCGGCACAGCTTTTCCTTGTCCCGTGTGTATCTGCCAGCCAGTTAGGACTCTGTCTTCATTCAGTGGCTTGATCCACCCCCATCAGCCCCGGGGTCCTGGCCTGGTCCGGGCATCGCTGAGAGCGGCCCCTCGCTGCTGGCACAGCCCTGTGCTCCGGCTCCTCCCGGCTCCTAACTAGTCCTGGGCCGTTTCCCCATGGGGCCCTGTGCTCCGGCTCCTCCCGGCTCCTAACTAGTCCTGGGCCGTTTCCCCATGGGGCCCTGTGCTCCGGCTCCTCCCGGCTCCCAACTAGTCCTGGGCCGTTTCCCCATGGGGCCCTGTGCTCCGGCTCCTCCCGGCTCCTAACTAGTCCTGGGCCGTTTCTCCATGGGGCCCTGTGCTCCGGCTCCTCCTGGCTCCTAACTAGTCCTGGGCCGTTTCCCCATGGGGCCCTGTGCTCGGCTCCTCCCGGCTCCTAACTAGTCCTGGGCCGTTTCTCCATGGGGCCCTGTGCTCCGGCTCCTCCCGGCTCCTAACTAGTCCTGGGCCGTTTCTCCATGGGGCCCTGTGCTCCGGCTCCTCCCGGCTCCCAACTAGTCCTGGGCCGTTTCCCCACGGGGCCCTGTGCTCCGGCTCCTCCCGACTCCTAACTAGTCCTGGGCCGTTTCCCCATGGGGCCTGGTCCTTCTGGTGGAGGAGGGTGTTGAAGACTGAAGACGAGGTGCTGGGGGAGATGTTTTGTTTTTTCAAACCGACACCCAAATCCTTTCTGCCCCCAGCGACCTGTGTGCAGGACTGATTGGAGGGCTCGGTGTGACACCAAGTGGCAACATCGGCGCCAACGGGGTCGCGATCTTCGAGTCGGTAAGGACCCTCTGACGCCCAAAGCAGAATGCGGATCGGACGGCGTGAGGACCCGGGAGGGGGACCTGTATAGACATGTGTGAACTCTTGGGTGTTCGCATTGTTGGAAGAAAGTGATGCTTTGTGGAGGTTTTTCCATTCATTTCCCAGCTTTGTGCACTTATCCTTCCTCAGTTAAAGTATTTTAGCAAAAGTTGATAGAGATGGTCAGTCCCTAGTTTTGCAATTAAAAAAAAAGTTCCTCTCGCCCTTGCTTTCTGTGCGGCTTTGTTTCTAGGCGTTTGTCTGATGCGTTGGGGGCAGCCGCTGCCCGGGGTCTCCCCCGGGGCGGCCCCTGATGAGCTGCTTTCCCCGGCAGGTCCACGGGACGGCCCCCGACATCGCGGGCAAGGACATGGCCAACCCCACGGCCCTGCTGCTCAGCGCGGCCATGATGCTGCGCCACATGGGGATGTTCGACCACGCCGGGCGCATCGAGGCCGCCTGCTTCGCGACTATCAAGGGAGGCAAGGTACCTGCCGCGGCGCCCGCGAGCGCGCGTCCTCCGCGGGGTTCCCCTGGGGGGGCAGGCGGTGGCGCCCCGCAGCCCGAGGACTGACGCAGCGCGGCTTCCTCCTCGAGGTCCCGGGTGGAGTCCGGGTGTGGGCGCATCATGCATTTCCTGAGGGAGGGGCCTCGTGTTTCCTGAGGGAGGGGCCGCGTGTTTGCGTGGGGAGTTGGAGCCGTTGCAGGCCCGGGTGTCCCCTTGGTGGCGATGGGATCTTGGCCAAGGCCGTCGCGTTTTCCACGCGGCTTTTTCCTCCTCCCAACAAAAAGCTACTGTGTACGTTATAAGGTATGAAAGACAACACACTGAGGAATGAGGTAAGGTCTCGGGCCTCCAGCTCCGACGTGTCCACGACGCAGGGTATTGTACGTTATACCACGTGCGTCAGAAAGGTAGAAGGAGAAGGACTGATGTTAACGGGGTGCTCGCAGTTCCCGTAAAGCTGTGTGAGCGCACGCCCCCTCAGCACACTGCTCCATGGGGGGGTCCTGGGATGAACCCCATTCTGGAGATGAGGAAGCTGAGGCACGGAGGGATTCAGTCATCTGTCTAAGGTCTCAGGTCCCCATGGCAGAGCTGGGTCACGCCCAGTCCGGCTCTTGCCCAGCAAGTTTCACTGTTTCCATGGCGGTGGTGGCCACGGAGGGGATGGGTCACCTGCACGCGGGCGGAGGACGGAGGAGGTGATGGCCTCCCATCACCTGAGGCCTCTTCCTTTTCAAGTCGCAGTAGAATACGCCTGGTGCCAAGCCAGCCGTTCTGAAGTGTCCAGCTCGGTGGCGTCCAGCACGCTCACACCGTCGTGCCAGCATCGCCACCGTCCGTCTCCGACCTTTCCTTTTCCCAGTGAAACCGCCTCACGCCTGTCGTTCTGACAGCCGTGTTTCACGTAGCACAGTTTTCAGGGTCGGCTCCTTTAAAAACAGCCCTATAATCTGAAATCACTCCTTGCAGCGAAGAGGCAAGAAACCCAGACCTGTTTTTAACAGCCGGAGAGTCGATTGAAGGGCAGAGGACTTTGCATTTTTTTATTCTGACGCTGCTGCGTCTGTGAGTTTAACGACGGAGCCACAGAGAGCAGAGCACGGGGCTGCTGGTTACGCAGGACGCGGTGGTGGGAGAAGCTCATGGAGGCCCGTGTGGGCGTGGCCAGAGGAGGCGCTGGTAGAGCCGCGGCTGCGGGAGGCGATGCAGTTAGTGACGTACATGCTGCCTTAGTCTCTGTTTCCCAGCCTCCAGAACAGATCAAAATAGGTCTTTTAAGTTTCTTAAACTTTAGAAATTCCCCAGGGGATTCACGGATCCCTTGTTTAGATGTGAAGTGTCCATCATCGGTGTTTCCTTGGGCCTGTCCTCTGGACAGGGCCTCTGCCGTCTGCTGGGCGGGCGTGGTGGGCGCCGTGAGCGTTGGGAGGAACCGGGGGAAGCAGCGCCGCCAGGACTGGCTCGGCTGGAATCTCACCGGCGCTTTCAGCAGAACTCTCCTTGCTTTGGCCCCGTGCGATGCGTTTTTAATTTGCTTTCCCTCCTCAGAGCTTGACCAAAGACTTGGGAGGTAATGCCAAGTGCTCCGACTTCACAGAAGAAATCTGCCAGCGAGTGAAGGACTTAGAGTAAGGCTCCCGCCGACGTGTCCGCACCAGCCACTCCTAACGCCGCCACGTCAGCCGCCTGAGAGCACGCCCGTGTGCGCTGGTCCCCGTCCCCGACCGAGTCCACTCCAATCGGCCTTTTAACAAACCTGAGCAGAGGACGCAGGCGACGCCCGAGGCCTGCTCCCGAGTGCTCGTCTGGTGGGTCGTGTCTATTTGGTATATATTTTTTGTAAACCCTAAGCCGACTGTATCATTTGCCATTGTTAACCATTTACACTTCAGTTAAAACAGTTTTCCTCAGCTGTAAATATGACACAATTAATAAGAAAACATCTAACTTTTCAAAGAAAAAGTTTTCCTTAGCTTATGGAAAATATACTAGAAATAAAACAGAATACTGACGTAACAGCACAAGATGACATTCTCATGACATGAACGGGCACGAGAGCAATTTCCTAGGAAAGTTGGCGTCTAACACGGTGACTGTGGCCTGTTCCTTTATGACACCGACAGTGAGGACAGTGGTCTTTTCTATGGATTACTGAGGGCGAGTAGACCCCCAGCCAAGAAACAGGCGAGAGGTAACTGTCATTGAACAGACATAGGTAATACATTGGCTACAAAGACAGATGCTGTTGGCTTGGTGCTGTGTTACCTTGAGGGTCCCTTTCCTGAGCTTCACGAAGGGCAGGGCCGCAGTCCCTTGTCACCTGACACGCGCTGAGCATCGCGGGGAACAGCTCTGAGCCGACGGCCGCGTCGGACGGGGCAGCTGACCGTGGGCGGCCGCACTCCTGCAGCACCTCACACTCCGCCGGCCCTGCTGGAAGCCTGACCACGCTGTTAACTCTGTGTTCCCACGGCCGCCCTCTCCCTTCCCCAGAGCACGGCCACCAGGCGGCGAGGTGCAGGGCAGCGGGCGGCCGGCGTGGCTCAGCCCGACCCCCTGCACCCGGCACGGTGTCTCTGTAGCCTCAGATGCCGAGTCGCCATCTCCATCAACAGGCAGCCGTGTGCCCCTGCCCCTCGTGGATCCGCGCAGACCTGTGCTTGGCACGAGGCACCCAGGTCACGGGGGTCCCTAACGACACCCCTGCGGGTGCTTTTCAGGCTGGTCCCCAACTTCCCACCTTCCCTGTATCTGCTGTGTACGCTGCTGCTCCTGCTTTACTGGCCTGCGAATGCCGGCTCACACTTATTAATAAAGAGTTCAGAGCTGACTGTGTGCTTCCTCTCCTCTCCCCGTCCCTCCCCCTCAGGGCCTGGGGCACTGGCGTGGTCCTGGGAATGGCCGCTTCGCTCGCGTCCTGAGTGGCAGGGGCAGCGGGCCGGTGCGGCCCCTCTGCTCTGCGGGCACCCAGGGTCACTCGTGCCCGCTGCACACAGTCCTGGGGACTAAAGACCCACCACCCTGGGCTGCTCCCACCTGCTCAACCGAGAAAACAATCACCAGTCCTGCCGACAGTTGGGTTAAGAAGTTTAATATCCGAGTCACACGTTAAGGGCTCACAGGCGGCGGCGGCAGCTCTAGGAGCGGCCAGGGAGGGCAAGTGCTGGGGAGCCCTGGGCGGGTGATGGGCTGGCCGCCTGGCAGATTCCACAGCAAGTGAGTGACAGCCGAGGCTTCCCCTGCAGCCGTAACAGAAGCCGCTCCTCCCTCCCTCCCCCCGCCCGCTGCTACTGGCCCTTCACTCTGGAAGGGGAGCTGGTCTGTCACCTGAACACACAGCGACACTACAACTAGAACTACGGACACGGAAGCTTCTCGGAACGGCCGGCTACTTGGCCCGAGGCCCGCGAAGGGGATGCCGGGCCCCCGGGCCTCACAGCGGCCAGCAGCCCCGCCCGGCCGCAGAGCAGGGGGGCTGGGGGCCTGGGCGCCCTCACTCCAGGTAGAAGGAGTCGATGACGTCTCTGTACTTCTCCAGGACGGCCAGCCGCTTCAGCTTCATCGTGGGGCCTGGAAGGGAAATGGGAGCGCGTGTGAGGCCTCAGGAACCTGAGGCGTGTGGTCAGGACCCGGGACCGCGAGTCCTGTGCCTGGAATGAAGCCACACCACCCGGCGGCCGGCCCCGAGCCGGCCCGAGTGACCTGCTCACGCGGCAGCAGCCCGTTACTCCAGGGAGCGGCCGTAGTGAGAGCACGTCCAGGCCCCTGGCCCCTGACCCCTGACCCCTGACCCCTGACCCGCACCCATCTCTGACTTCCATGCACTTGAATCAATGATTCCCGTGACCAAACAGGAAGACGGCAGGTCCTGCCCTGGCCCTCGGGGCCCGTTTCTGGGGCAGCCACGTGGAGGCCCCTGGCCTGTCCCACACCCCGAGGGAGCGGGGAAGTGGCCCCGCAGGTGGCCCCGCCCGGCTGACGCTTCTGGAACCTCAGGAGAGACCCCAGCCAGCACCCCCCGCAGAATGACAAGCGCCTGTGCTCTGAGCTGCTGAGTTTGAGGTGACATGTTGCACAGCAAGGACGAACGTGCCCGTCCTGTCAGCTCTGGACATGATGCTCTGCCGGCCCGAGATGGGGTGGGGGGGCTGCCGAGAGCGCTTCCCCACCACCGGGCGTGGCCTGGGTGCGCCCTCCGGAGCCAGGGGACATGGCTGATTCGAGTCCCGGGAGCTGGACGTCCACTCGGTGCTCACGCTGGGCGGGGTGACTGGGGACTCCTGACCGAGTCATTTATAGCGACTGCTCAGCGAGGACATCTGTCTGGCTGGCCGCGCTCAGTGCTGGGCCAGACAGCCGGACACGCGCCAGGGACGCCCTCAGTGCGGCTGCCTCCGGCCTGAGGTCCGAGGGCACCTCACGGAGGCGGCACTGCCAGCTCCGTGCCCTGAAACGCCCGGAGACGCCGCAGGAGTGCCTGCCCCCGCTGAGGCCGCGCCACAGGCCCTTCCGGTTCGGAGGGCCGAGTCCCGAGGGGCTTCACCCCGACCTGCCACGTGAGCTGACTGCAAATTTCGGGGTCCCACCCACGAGAGGCCGGTGGCCCCTGGTGACCTCAGGGGACAGTGGTTCCCAGAGCCGCAGGAGTCGGATGTCACAGGTTCAAACTCACAAGTCCCAGCCAGACCCTTGTCCATTGTGACAGGCCCCACCACGGCAACGCTCTGGAGCAGTGTCCTTCCCCGGCCAGAAGGGGGGCCCTGCCCCCCACAGTCCCTCCCGGGCCCCCCCAGTTCCCCCCCCACCCTGCCCCTGGACCGGGGGGGGGGGGGGCGGAAATAAAAGCAGAGCAAGCCTACCCAGCTCTCCGCCCGAGATGGAGAAGTCCCTCTCGAGAATGGCCCACTTCTGGATGTGGTAGGGCCGGGCGGCCGCGTTCCCGTTCACCCGCCGGATGCCCTCCTCGATGGCCCGGTACACGGCCTCGTCCCTGCGGCCCACGATGTCGGACACCCGGGTGGCCCTGCTGCCCACCCGCTGGCAGAACTCCACCGCCTGCTCCGTCAGCGTGTCGGTCGGCTCGCACGTGTCCGGGTCCAGCGTGCACTGCAAAGCAGACCATCAGCCGCGCCTCCCCCCCCAGGACGCAGCCCGCCCGGAGGAGTCACTGCCGGAGCCCGGAGGCGGGTCCTGTGAGCTGTGGTTTGGGGGTGCGGCTGCCACCCCAACTGGTGGAAGGAGCAGAGGTCTGAGCTCAGAGCTCAGAGACCTTGGAGCGAAACCATGGCCAAGAGCAGGGCCCGTAGCTCCTGCTTCGTCCGGCAGCTGGAGCCGCGCCTGCTGAGCGGGCGGCTGTCCCAACAGCGCTGCTGCCCGCACCCCCGGGGGCAGAGGAACCTCCCTGGGGGACGGCTGCCCGTTCCCAAGCCCGGGCCCGACCCAGCATGCACTGCGTGAACGCGGCCGCGGCGCGGGGCGGGTCGGACCCACCTTCAGGGTGAGCAGCATGGACAGGAACTTCCTCTGGTCGCCGATGAGCACGGCGCTGCTCACGAGCGGCAGCTCCGTCTTCACCGCCTCCTCGATGGGCAGCGGGGGCACGTTCTCCCCGCCCGCCGTGACGATCAGCTCTGGGGGCACGGCCAGGCGGCTGAACCAGGGCTCACCCTCGGGGGGGCCAGAGGAGCCGGCGGAGGAGCCGCACCCCTGAGCCCCTCTGACCTCCCCCCTCCCCTCCCCCCTCCTCCGTCACCCCTCCCCGCCCGCCGTGACGATCAGCTCTGGGGGCACGGCCAGGCGGCTGAACCAGGGCTCACCCTCGGGGGGGCCAGGGGAGCCGGTGGAGGAGCCGCACCCCTGAGCCCCTCTGACCTCCCCCCTCCCCTCCCCCCTCCTCGGTCACCCCTCCCTGCCTCTCACCCCTGCAGGCCCTGTGCCACCTGCCCCGTGTCAGTAACTCGCTTCGCCCTCACCACAGGCCATGACGGGAGGGCAGCCTTCCCATTTCTCAGACGAGGAAGCCGAGGCACAGAGCGGTTCAGTGACTCGCCCTTTCAGTGCAGCACCGTCCAGAGCCCGTGCCCGCGCCCAGGCGGGCTCACTCTGCCCTCGGGACACCCTCTCCCTTCTCCCCACTGTCCGACCGGCCGCCTGTTCTGCAAGGACCAGCTCTGCTGCCTCCAAGCAGCCTGGTCCGCCTCTCCCGTCCGTCACTAATGCCTTCTCTGCGCGTTCTCATCAGGTGTCTGCCCCTCAGCAGGTCCCCCTGCCATTCGCCTGTGCACAAGGCCCGCATGGGCCTGCCGCTCTGGTCTGTCCTCTGAGGGTGGCTTCCTCCCTTAATAACGACCCTCAATCACTTCGGCGACACTGTCCGCCTGCCCCCGTTCTACCCAGTTCAGCGAAGGGAAGCTGGTCCCACTCTGCGCAGCCCAGTGCCGACCCGGGCCAGGTGGATGTTGCGTCACAGGCAAATGGAGAAACACTAACGTTTATGTCCTCAGTGTCCTGGAAAGACTTGCCTCACTTCTCTAGGGGGTCTGAGTCCCGGCTCCACCGTCTACCGGCTGGGTGACCCCGGATGAGCGCCTTAACCTCTCTGGCTTCCTCATCAGTAATACACGGTGCCCATCACGGCAGAGGCCCCCGAGGAGGCACTGCCCTCGCGGTGTACATGGTGGTGGCCCGGCGCCCCCGCCCGCCCCGCACACCTTTCAGACACCCCGTGATGTAGAGGAAGCCGTCGCCGTCCAGGCCCCCCAGGAGGCACTGCTCTCGCGGTGTACGTGGTGGTGGCCCGGCGCCCCCGCCCGCCCCGCACACCTTTCAGACGCCCCGTGATGTAGAGGAAGCCGTCGCCGTCCAGGCGCCCCAGGTCGCCGCTGTGCAGCCAGCCGTCGGCGTCGATGGCCTCGCGCGTCTTGTCCTCCATGTTCAGGTAGCCCATGAAGACGGTGCGGCCCCACATGCAGATCTCGCCGATGCCCTCCGCATCCTGGTTCACCAGCTTCGCCCGGCAGCCGGGCACCACCTTGCCGGAGCTGGGGGGGAGGGCAGAGGCCTGGTCGGAGGGAGCCAGTCCCTCCAGGCCCGGGGTCAGCCCCCCGTCTTCCCCGATGGCCAGAGGTGCCCCTCCCAGGCCTCTTGTCCTCTAACAGGGCCTGGAGCTGACAGCAGGGCCCAGGAGAGGTTTCAGGTGAATGAATGAATGAATGAATGAATGAATGTGACGACCCAGGCTCCGGGACGGCTGAGCAGGGACGGGAGGCAGTTCAGCCCGAGAGAGGACCTTCACCCACTTCTCAGCGCTGACCATCCTCTCTGCCCACCGGAGGCCGGCCCTGCCCCAGCTCCCACCGTGTGGCTGGGCCCTCGGCGATGCTGGGGCACCTAACACTGTGGGGTAACGGGGACTCCTCCCCCGGAGCCCTGCTTTCCACCCCAGGCCGGGAAACACGGCAGAGACCAGCTCCCTGGGACGGAGGCCTGGCAGGGGCTAGGCCCTGGGGACCCCACAGGCCAGGGCCCGAGCTCCGAGCCCCCGGGGTGTGAGCGGGGGCGGGGGCGGACACTGCCCCGGGTACCTGTACAGCCGGAAGTTGCAGGGGCTGGACATGAAGTGGGGGCCCGAGGTCTCGCTGAGGCCGTAGCCCGAGTACAGGCGGATGTTGAGGCCCAGGAAGAAGCGCTGTGTCTCCGCGGTCATGGGGGCCGCGCCGTAGAAGCTCTTCCGACACTTGGCGAAGCCCAGCGCCTGGCGGACCTTGGCCAGCACCAGGTAATCCGCCAGCCTGGCTGCGAAGGGCTTCAGGTCGCTGGAGGGAGAGGAAGCAGGGGCCAGAGGAAATGACACACACGCGCCTTCTCTAAAAGGCTGGACGCTCAGCCCCGGCCAGGGGATCAGCGATGAGAACACCTTCCGGATGCGCCCGAACTCAGGCTGACCCCTGGGCGGGGCACGTGCAAGGATCAACCCACGAATGCATCAGCAACTCGACGTTTCTTTCTCCCTCCCACTCTCCTCTCTCTAAGCCACAAACTAAACCTTAAAGAGAAAGGATGGGTATTCAGTGGGTCGCACTGGCCTGGCCTGTTCTCTCCTGACTGCTCGGCACCAAGGCTCAATCCGTCACGGAACAGTTCACATACTGGCCCTGCCCATGAACACGCGTGCATACATGTCTCGAGCCGGGAAACAGACTGAGCTGTGTACGGGCACACAGGCCACCAGGAGTACACGTGTGCAGACTGGAGCAGTCACGCCTAGACACCCCCAGACAGACGTGTGGGAAAGCCCGTAACTGCGCCGACATGCACATCCACTTCACGTCTGTGCACATGAAGCGCAGGCGCAGACACGTGCACACGCCTCATGAGACGGACACCGGCCACGGAGTGTTTCTAATCCGGTCCAGGCCAGACTCATGCACCAACCCCGCAGCACCGTGTGGGGGTTAAAAGCGACTGCGAGGTCACCGGGAGGCCGGGAGGCGGGAAAGCCCACCCCCGTGGTCCCCGCTCCCGGGACGGTCAGAGCCAGAGGCGGGGAGGGGACGGGGCTCTGCACAGGCTCCCAGCTCGGACAGGCCGGGGGGGGGGGGGAGGGGGCGCACACTGGGGCTGTGACTCTCGCTCTCTCTACCTGCTGGGGCAGGTGAGGTTGTGCTCCAGCATCACCGCCATGGTCCCACAGCAGCATCTTGCGCCGAGACGAAGCCGAGACTGAGCCGCCACTCCTGGATGCGTTCCCATGATCTTCTCCCCACACCGGGGCACCCCCATGTGCGACGTGGGCTCCACCTCCCGCAGCGTGTCCACCAGGCTCCCCTGCCCGCGCAGAGAGAGGGGCCTGGTCAGAAGCCGGCGCGGCAGGAGGCCCTGGGCCGGGGGCAGCGCGCACCGGCTCAGGCACCTGCTCCCACGCGGACAGGCGCCCGCCGCCCGCCCGCACCGCAGGGCACAGGCTGTCGGCTGCGGCTGCTCTTTCCTCCAACGGAACCTGATGCTGCTCAGAGGCTTCCGGGGTCCTGGGTGACTCCTGGTCTAACTCAGAGGCGACATCCGCCCCCTAAGCCATGACTGGGTGAGGAGTCGACCTGTGACCCCACCTGGGCCAGTGAGAGGCCTGGGGGAGCCACCTGGGGTTCCTGGGAAGTCACCTGTGGCTAAAAGGACCCAGAGCACAGGTAGCAGACGAGGCAGGCGCAGGGCAGGGTGGGGCGGGGCCCCGTGCGACCACCTGTGACTCCCTCTGAGGCTGTGTCCTTGGGCCGTGGCCACAGAACCACTGACTGGACTTTCTTGTTTAGCTGGAGGTGTGCTGACTGCAGCGGGAAGACCTCTGACTGACACAGGATGGGGAGCCGGCGCAGCCCAGCGCACACCCACCCCCATGAGCACAGACACGGGCGGGCCCTCGCACACATCCGGGGACCCCCAGGCGGGCAGAGGGCAGACTGACCTTCAGGGCGTCGGGCTGGGCAAAGCAGACCTGGGCCCCCCCACTGGATGCCCGTCCACAGGTCGTAGATCTGGGCGGCGATGTGGCTGAGGGGCAGGTAGCTGACCACCACCTCCTGCTGGACCTCGGCGGGCTGGATGCCGCCGGCCTGGCTGCCGTACCGAGCCGTCCAGGTGATCTGAGGACGAGGGGCGGGCCCGCAGGTCTACGCGCCACTCCGGAGGCGCTCACGTCTGCAGGTGCCCGCGGGCCTGGGCTCTTTCTCTGGGGGACCCCTGGAGTGTCTGCCCCCCTGGGCATCTCTGCAGGAAACCCCCATGGACAGCCCCCCCACCGCCCCAACTCTGCGCTGGGTGCCGTCTGGACCACAGACTCTGTCCCAGGCATCCCTGCTCCCCGAGCCAGGCCCAGAGGAGCCGCCCAGCCCACCCCGGGGCGGGGCGCGGCCTACGTTGTCCTGACTCAGCATCACGCCCTTGGGGCTGCCGGTGGTGCCGGACGTGTAGACCAACG